GATATCACAGGATGATCTTTTCACTCAATCAATTCTAGCACCTTTGCATGCATAGAACAATGTTTTCTTTAAATGTTACAAGTTTCACTGGAGAGTTCCATTTGTGTCTCCAAGTCTTCATATTCAGAATATTTTCATTCTGTAGATTGTTGTCTCCTCATATACCTGTGAAGACAACTAAGTAAATGCTTTTTTTTCTTGATATTTTCAGAGTTTATTTTCTTCTGTGTAGTAACTTTTTTTTACTGTTACTGCAATTGAAATAATTTTTCAGATCTGCAGCTTTCATCATGGGACTCTCAACTGTCTGGCTCTATAAATTAGTTATTTAAATATTAAAACTCCAGCATAGGCAACAATTAATTTAACTGAAAAGAAAATGAACTAGAAATGAAGTTAATAAACAATATTTGTTGGAAGGGCAGTGTTCCCGAAGTTTAAAAGGTTTTTCAGTTTAGGGTTTTACTTTTGGTTCATCAACAGTAACAACTTTTTCTCTCTGAAATGAAAACGCTGATGATGTTAAACTTGTAATTATACAGACTTGACCCATGTAATTATTTCATTTAAGATGTTTAAAAGATACATAACTATTTGGGAAAAAAAAAGGAAGTGTTCATACTTTTTTATTCATGTAGAACGTTGCTGAGAGACTGTTTCACAATAATTAATACTTAAAATGCAATCATGAGTGAAATGTTAACTCACTGCAAAGCAGTAGTTTTAGTAACCTAAGCATGTGGTACTGTCCATATACTGCCATTTACTTTGTTCCACCTCAAAAATACATGTGACAAACTGAAGATAAAGTTGAATACAAATTGCTGTTTTAATTTCTTTCCTTTTTCTGTTGTTTTCCCTTTCATGGTTAAATTTAATATTCGCACAAAAACTAGATTTTGTTGCCCTTAAGACTATTGGTCAAGTCTAGGTCTGAGGTAAATTGGTATTAAAATGTTAGCTTGTTCAGTTTGTTTAAAATAGTTACTTTTCCAAATGGCTGAGAGCAGAGGGAAGTTGCTTGCACTTATTTTTATACCATTTTGTTAACTCAGAGAATATAACAGAGATGGGCTAATGAAGCCTTCTTTCTTTACTGAGACTTCCTAGAAGGCTAGTACCTAGCCTTTATTTCGTTGATTAAATTTTACAAACAAAAAAGCTTAAATGGCTTTATAATATAGGAAAAATACAGGTTGTGGATCCTCAGAAGTACAACTTTGAATTCATAACATAAAAATCGGTAGCTTCTTTTCTGAAATGGTGAGCTGCAGGGTGTTAGCCCGTCACTAAGGTGAATGACTTGAGTAAGTCAAGAGAAAGTGGTAGCTCACAATGAGCTGGAGGGAGGTCATCGCACTGTTTAAGTCTTGGAGAAGGGAGTAAGGACTCACATAGGGTGTTCTGGCATTCAAAGAAAATGAGAAACAAACACTGTGAAACATACTATGGGCTGTGGAACTTGTCAGCCTGGAACACTGAGGCCATCTCATCGTACATCTGTGTGTACTCGAGAGACAGTGAGGACTCATGTGTTAAGGACTTGAAATCAGAAGATTGGCTATGGTTTCCATGTTTGGCCATCAGTTCACTGAAATTTGAGGTTGACGTCAAAGCTGTTTAAAATTATATTCTGACGCATTGAGATTTTTTTAGTTATTGATTGTAATTTGTTTTTAATGAAAAATGTGTTTTAGCATTACAAGCAATTTGGTTCACTTGTAAAAATGAATTTATTGCCTAGAGTAAAGTCACTAGAATTTCCATGTATAACTAGGCATTTTAATTTAGCATTTTCTATGGAAGTAGCCTCAAATCAGCAGTTGTTGCAGCAAAAGTGGTATGGGTGAAGACTGTTTTCATGTCTCCTGAATCTTAATAACACAGTACCTTCAGCTTCTCTCTAAAATCTACTCTCCTCCACATCCTTCATCCTAAGACCTCATCCCAGTTTCTCTCCTGCTCATCTGTGCAACAGATGTCTCTACTGCAAGCACTTGCAGACCTTCACCCATTCACAATTCCACAACTTGCTATCACAAATCTTCCTCACGTATTCCTTAAATTTCCCTTTTTTCTCTCCCCTCCATTCCCCATCTTCTCTTTGTCAAAACAAAGCATGAGCTGTTGCCACTCTGGAGCTCCACATGACGTGATACGCTGGCCAGCACGTGTGCTGCATTGGCCATCTGGCTGCCAGCAAACTGAAGGGATTCAACCAGTCAATCATTCCGTTATTTTGCAGTATACTGGGGCTCAGTCAGACAAGATTTTGTACGGGGTGGCTTTTGAGTTCGTCAGGGAAGTATGGCATATGCGTGTTCTTGGTTTCGCTTCAAAAAGAAATCTGTATTTTGACAAAGGGGGTGTTAGCTCTGTGCATCGATTTTTCCTAAGGTTTTAAATATTTATCAAAACCTAGCAGAAGTAGCTCATGCCTCTACTGTGAAAAGTATAATACAGGATGTTGTTGTTCCTGTTACACTTGATAGAAATATCTGGCAGTGCTTTGCATTTGGATTTGTTTGTCTACAGCTAGAAACATCAGGAAGTTCTTCATGGAAATAATGCTTTTATGCAATGTCTGAAGGATGACATTAAGAGTTAGCATTGGCTAAGTCTTTTCTGTATGTTCGGTATGCTCTGTGTTTCAGTCTCACCCAGACAGGAAAGGACTGATTTGCTTTGCTTCCAGCAACCATTGAGATTGATGAATAATGGGAACAAGCTGGCTGAAATTAATTATGATAAAAATGAAAATATTATGTTATAAGGGAAACAGCTGAAGGACTTGGCATTGGTTAGGTAAGGAGCTCTTCACTGTGAATATTCAGTTGCTATGAGTTAGCTGAGTTCCTGTTTTGGAAGCAAGTTTAAGTTCTCGAGTGTTTAGTCTGTTAAAATTAGACAGCAAACATAATTAGACAGTGAGCGTCATTTCTACGTTTATTATTCTTTTGGAACTGACAAAAGTTTGCTTGCCTTTCAGAAATACGCTTTTGCAATTTCAGTCCATGCTTTAGTTTCCTCTAGACTGAACTATCACCACGTACCTCCTGGTAGATATTTATGTAGAATATGTTAGTTGGCATTAAACAAATGATCCCACCTTGAGTGTGTAATGCTGGTGTCTGCATACGTGAAATGTAAAGGTTGGTTTTTTTCTCTTTTGGCACTTGGCAAGTCACAAAAGCATGTCATGGCTGAGTTCAGGACCCTGATTCTCAAGTTGCGATAGTCTCAGATGTGATACAAGGGGGAGCAGCCCTTGGACACCCCTGACTTATGACGCTTCACGGTAGTCCCTGACAATATGGCCAATGCAAGTAGCAGTACCATGCAACAGAGCTTTTCCATCATCACCCAAGCGTCTTGGTTGAAACGCTTGACAAGACGTAGCTGTCGTAGAAAGCAGTTCTATGATCTTGATGTCATCCTTCAGAGCTACGGTAAAGCTAATAGCTGTGGCCTTTTATATGCATAGGGATATAAAGAAATGCCAAGAGAGTGAAGGGCATTTCCAGTGTTTTTCCGATTTCCCCTCATTTTAACCTATTCCAAGTCTTAGCAGTAGCAAATACAAATTTTCTATGAGAGCTGCTGTGAAAGTTTTCAAAAGTGTATATTTAATATCCTTTTCTTCCCTTTGCATTATTTCTTTTTGCTGTGCTTCCTGATAGGTCATCTTTGCATCTTCGCTTTTTTTTTTGCTTTGTGTTTGTTGTGACTAATTTTATACCCCATTTGTGCAATATCAAGTGATGGCATGAAACATGACATATTCAAAGCTTGTTAGGAATACCACCCCACTTTTGAGGAAAAGTACTAAAGGTTATTACCTTTAACTGAAGAAGCTCTTTAATTCCAGCAAGGTAATGAGTCAAAGTCTCAAAATGGCAAACTGATAACACTGATAAATGTTGTACATTTCTAAACAAAACTAAAGCAATCCCTAATGTTGATACTTAAATTACATCGATGTGGCTTCAAAAATAACATTTTCCTGAAGTAAGTGAAATGAAGTAAAGAATATACGTTCTATGTATACCTTTCAATTTCTTGACATTTCTTTTAGATTACTTGTCTTCAAAAACTGTTGTTTAAATTGTTATGAAGATTATCTTTACGTTAATTCTGATACTTGTATCTTAATTCCTTATTTAATGAAAATTTACGTTCCACAGTAACTAATATGGCCACAGCAATATGATCAAACTTAGTGTTTCTATCCTCATGTCACTTAGAATCCTGTCTGAATTTAAGTGAAATCTCTGACTAAAGTCAGCTGAAATCCAACCCTTGAGAAATATGTTGCATATACTGCAATAGCGCATCAAGTGAGAATTCTGTGTCATAAATTTTTGACAAGTCCTACGTGCTATAAGTCTAATGTTCTGCATGTGTGGATTGACAAGGATGGTTTGAATTTTTATGCTAATATGTGCATAGCATGTCTCACTTTTTCTGTTATTTTAAAATCTTGTGTAAATTACAGTGAAAAAGTTGCTGTCAATTTAAGTTGGTAATTTCAATAATTTCTTTAAGGAATTATTTCTTAATTATTTTTATGGCAATTGTCATATGTATTAATTTGAACACTCAAGTCAAATAACGAAAACCTGGAACCAGGGTTCCTGACATCTCTACATACATAATGAATGGATATAGCAAAGTTAGAGAACAAACCATGTTATAGTAGTATATGGGATATGAATAACGTATGAATAAGATTTTGTAATGTTCAGTTATAAATTTGCCATAATTCAGTTTTTCAACTTAAAAATGTGTGAAAACCTGTCACCTAAAGAGAAAAAAGTATATTTATAAATGAAAAATTTCTGGTTTTAAAATAAAAAAACCTTGATGTTATGCATTCTTTGAGCAATTTTCCTTAAAGTTGACCTGAGAATTAACCTCAAAAGCTTTTTTCCACCTTAGGTTTCAAACTTCTATAATTTGATAGTGATCCACTTAATATTTAAAATTTGAAAATTTTACAGATAAAAAGCTTTGGTGGGCAGACCAGAACTTAGCTCAGATCGGTACCTGTAACAAAAAAGATGGAAGAAACCCAACTGTCCTGCGAAACAAAACTTCAGGTGTTGTACATATGAAAGTGTATGATAAAGCAGCACAGCAAGGTAAGTTAAATTTTAAGCATGTTTAAACAACTTTTACACCGCATAGTATATTTTCCCACGTTATTCTCCAAACATGGCTAGAACAAAATAATATCTATTTCATTGTAATTGATTGAATAAATTGCTGAATATAATAGGATAATTGATTTATGAAACCTGCTGTTTGAAGTTCTTCTAAAGAATCTGTTTAAAATTTTTAGTAAAAAAAAAAAAATCAGTGTGTGAATCTCATCTCAGCTTATTGTAATTTGATGTAAGTGAAGTATTATGAGAACAATCATTAATATTCTTAATTAACTATTTGTTTTAAGACAGTTTAATGCATCTAAATTGACAGAAGTGACAGTAGTACAACTCAAAATTGAGACTGCAGAAAAATGTGGAAATATTGCTAATACTGCCAAAACTTAATTGGCAAAGTGGGAGACAAAATAATATGAAAAAGTGTAATTTAGGGTCAAGCACACAGTTTTATGGATTTGGAGATCAGAGATGAAGACATCTGGGAGATTCTTTAGAAAGAGATTATTTCTGCTTCCAGCTGCTTTCAAAGTGCTGATGGTTGCACTGAAACTGATGAGGACAAGAGCTACATGAAAAAAATTATTTTGTGGAGAAGCTTCCAAAAGAGCACAGGATGGAGATAAGCTCTCTGATATCTGATGGACAATAAGTCTATGAATGGAGTACAGTAATTCAGCTCCATATTGAGCACTTCTGGGAACGCTTGCCATTTTACCTAATCTAGGAAACACCAAAGGTGCTTTGCTAATCTTGCCCTTAGTTTTAAATGTGGTGGAACGGTAAGTAATACAAATTTAGGCATCCAGCAATGTTTCTATCATTTTAAAATGCTTGAACTCCGTACCATGGAGGCATACAGATAGCCTCAGGAGTGCTCAAATGTTAGCGATATCTGGTGTCTGTGGCATTAATATGCGTCTTCCATTGTACAAAAGTCAAGAAAAGGAGCAGTTCTCTCTTTTCATACTACTGAACTTTAATCATAGCAAGATCCCTGAGGTGGTATAGTGAAATGTCACCTTGCTGATCTATATTTTGACAGAGCAATGTCAAGGTTTTGGATATAAGAATTGAACACTGGAGATGGGATTCAGCTTTACACTTGCATGTTGGTTTTTTTTTTTTTTTTTAAAGAATCTTTGCATATTTTGTATGCATCTTGCATTTCATTAAATCAAAGTGACATGAGAGAAAATGTGCTGTGAGAGCACTTACAGATTTCTCTATACAAATACAACCTTTGTCTGAGGATACCTGAGACTTTGAGACCTCACCTGTTTTCCATTTGTATGGTTGGATCCTTAGAAAACATCTATGGTTTTAGATGAAGAAATGCTTTCTACTTCAAAATTCGGAATGCAAAGATAAATGTGACAAGTAGCGCTCTGATTAATATGGGCTTGGTAACTTGTAATCAACTAATTCCTTGAATGTCTTAGTAGGCTTAAATGTTTCTTCATGAAGCTTCAAATTTCTGAGATGTATTTATGCACTTGCATAATGTTTGTTATAAGACTATTAAAAAGTGTTCCTCTATTACTTAAAAGTAAATATTGTTTTAATTAAGAAGTAGGAGCATGGATCTGTGAGATCACATTGGAGCGTATCTTCAATATACTAGACAAATGGTGGTTCATGAAGATACAAGGTTCACACATAACATTCGATGAATTAATCCAATATGATCAATGATTTGCTTATGGTCTATAATAATATACACCTTCTAGATGAATGTCAGTGAGATTTCAGCATTGCTACTCACAAGCTTAGTGTAGTATTTTCAGTTTTATCATATGCTTTTACTTTAAAATAGGCATATTTTTCTTCAGAAAACTGAGTTACTTTAAAGAAATATATATTCTAAGGAAAAAACCCACCATTCTAAGTGCACAGATGAACTACTGTAAGAGTGAAGCATGGAAGAGTATATGAATAGTAGCACAGACTGTAATATTTTATGTATATCTCAATTTTTCAGAAAGCTGAACAAAACTTTTGGTAATATTAATAGATTGATGCCAACACTCATTTCTATTCAGGATTGCACTGTTTGAATTTTGTTTCCTCGTCTCTTCTCCCATCATGTTATAGGTAGCAATTCCTGTCAGCTAAACAATGGTGGATGTTCCCAGCTTTGTTTACCAACATCAGAAACCACCAGGACTTGTGTGTGTACAGTGGGCTACAATCTTCAAAAAAACCGCATTGCATGCAAAGGTAAAATGGCTTTCAATTTTACCTAACTTCAGTTTTATGGGAACACTGTAATGGGTAAATAAATTTTCTTTATTAATTTTAAGTTAAATAACCATACTTAATGTGCTTGATCAAAGCAGCAACAGAGAAATGTCTATTGTGGTTAGCACAGAATTTCAGTTTAGCTTTTAATTTCTTTATTTAGTTCTGTATAGCTTTTAGTGGAAACTCTGGGGAATATTTTTTAGTTTTTTGGGTTTTTTTTTAAATGTAGGCAGAAAAGCAGATCATGAGAGTCATCATTAATAGCAGTACATATTTGTTCAAGGTCATATAACTTAATGTTAAACTAAATTACAGGCTGCAGTATCTGAAAGGTTGGGTATCTCATCTTATTGTATTGTCCTTAGCATAAAGTAAGGCATGTTCTTTTTTTTTTTTCCTTAATTATTTTTATAATTTTTAATTTTTTGTCTATTTGAGCAGGAAAAAGATCAAAGCATAACTTACATCAAAAGTCTTACATTTTGCCTGAATAATACAAACCAGCCCTATGGTCAAGGTGCCTTATAGTTGTATAAATTTAGTATTATTTATTCCTATGAGGGATGGCTACCTCATCTATTTAATAGTAAAGTATACATGGAAGCAGAATTGAGTAACATAAATATGGCTTTTCTACTTCTGCAGTACTTTTCATATGTGACAGTAATATGCTCTTAGCATTTTTTTAACGTCATTTTTAGTTTTACAATTACTTCTTCAGGTATTTATAACTTTCAGTTATGGGTTGAGGTAAAACAGGTGGATGTTGTGTATTTGAAATACATTCCTTATTATGTCTAGATATAGTGCTTTCTAGATAGTAACAACATATTATGATTAATTTTTCCTTCAGTTAAAAAGAGATCATGAGTCAAAACCATTTTTATTTAGTCTTGAATATTCATGGTGAAAATCTGACAAGTACTATTCTGTACTTATATAATTGTTTAGCATTGCTCTTTTCATTTTCTGGCTACATTTTGTCTTGCTTAGAATAAAATTTTGTAACTCTCTACCTGAAACTTTTTAGTTCAAATTCTAACAGTCTTCTACTAGCTAGCTTTTTTCAAAGCAAGAAATTTTCAAAGAATTTATGTGAAGAAAAAGGAACTTTTTTGTGTATGATAGTTAAAATTCTTCAAGAATATGAGTTATGTATCATCACTCTGCATAATTTCCGTTAACACTTAGTAGTGTTCTGTATATGAACAGAGCGGGGCAACAAGGTACTTGTTCTAACTTTGGTTGTCAACAATTAGGTGTGATTCATCTCAATTGGGAACGAATACATAACAAGACCCCTGCACAGTAGAATTTCTTCCTACTTGGTAGAAATAGGTGCATCTGGAGTGTGATTAATCTAACATAAAAGTAGACATTTCAAGTGCATCAGCTGCATTATTCACTAAAACTATGTGTTTCTCTCTATTGTCTAAAGGAAATGTGCATGACTAAATGAGGTGAGATGAATCCCATGCCTGAAAAGACAATTTACAGACTTGAGTCCTGCTTTCTACAAGTTCTTTTAAATTGTCTCTTGCTGAATATGTACAGAAAGTGCAGATGTGCACTGAAAATATTCTTAAATTTCTCATAATTCAAAAACATTTTCCTCTCAAGTTTTAATTTTCATTACTGCTAATTACTTAATTCTAAGGTGATTCTTGAAATGGATAATGATTCATTTCTCTTTATAAGGCAGCATTTATCATTTAACTAGAAATATACCATAACAATCCATGGATGTTTTTTCAAAGAGATGGAGTTATTATTCTGGAACACTCTGGAGCAGTATTGGAAAATTATGTCTAGTGCTTATTAATTCCTCAAATCTTGTTAATTGGGAAATTCTCCACTTTGTTCTCATTGGCTATTTTATTTTTACCATAGGTATTGAGTCATTTCTTATGTATTCTGTTCATGAAGGAATTAGAGGAATTCCTCTTGATCCAAATGATAAAATGGATGCTTTAATGCCTATATCTGGAACTTCATTTGCTGTGGGCATAGACTTCCATGCAGGTAAACATAATGTATAGTTTATTGTATGTATGGTAAATATGGTATACTATTCTTATAAATGAAATAAAATCCCACTTTTCAAACCTTCTAAATAATTACAACCATATTTGAAGGAATTAGAAGTTGATTGTGTGTTACAGTGTTAACCCCTAGCTATTTATTATTTATAGTAAATAAAAAACTGTGTATTATGTATATGTGGATTGCACTAGGAACACTGTCCGCTGTTTTTCAGTGGAAACATAACTGAGAACTTGAGTAGGAAACTGGTGGTTTCAGAGAAAGTGGTCATAAATCTGTAGGAAAGCAGGTTTCATTATTTCATTTTTCATAGAAAAAAAGCTTGTTTCCATTGTGACATTTTTCCACTGAATTTTCTTAGTCCTATGTATTGTACCCAGCAGGTGGTTTTGAAAGCTGAGTGGGATAGTTTTCTTTCTGTCCAGTAAAGCTCAACCACTTCACTGCAGTGTACAAGCCAACTCCACATCTGTGTCTTCCATTTAGAAGAGGATGCTCTAACAGCCTGAAGTACAGGCACTTCTATCTTAAGTACGCTGCATACCTTCCCACTGCAGTGTATAAAAAGGAAACAGTTTTTAGTTTAGATAGCCTCACAAATTTCCCATGAAATTAGGAGGTTTCTATTTCACATTCACGCGAAAGTAGGTAGAAAGAAATTAAGAATCGGATCCTGAAAAGTAGTTAGGTACATCTCCTCCTGGTAATAAAAGGTGTCTGAATATCTTCAAAGGCGTTAGGAATCTATGCTTTGTTTACAGACAATAAGAAATCGGTGACCACAAAGTGACCTGAAAACATCTTGTATATCCATATTTTTAACCCATTCACTCTTTGGCCAGCCTTCCTTCTAAACTGATTTTCTCATGAGCTGTTTTTGTTACCCACTGAGTTTACAAACTAGCAGTTCAGAAATAAAATTTTAAGTTACCTATGTTACATACCTATGGACATTGGCTTCCTGAAACATACAATTATTTTGTCATACTCCATTATTTTTCATTTTGAAATAAATTCTGCCTGGGAAATCAGCATTGAGAGGTCCTAAGTTTTTTATTATGTATATAATATATGCCTTCATGTTAAAACCAGACCTTTTTCTGCTAGTTCTGTTTGACTACTTCATCGCACAGGTATCACTAATCCTTTCTTAACAGGTTAGGAGTTAAACTCATTAAAGTCTTCTCTTATTTTGGCCTTCCTTCTTGACTGATGCTCTCGTACCTCTACTGTGGCTAGAAGAATTCCAAGTTCACTTAACATTTTACAGCATCCTCATAATTGTATATTTTTCTTTTAAATCAGTGACAGCTAATGTTTAGAACTTTCATTATATCTTAGATATAGTTCAGTCACAGTCTTCTGAGACATAAAAATCACTTAAAAGCCAATGTCTTTATACACATATCTTGTCTTCAATGGAAAAGACTATGATACAGCTGATTTCATCTATTTCTGGAAAGATACAGAATGATAGAGAAGTGGTAGCTAGACATGTTCTTGACAGAGATTACTAAGACAATGCAATTATGTTTTCCAAGGATTATATTTTTTGTTATAGTATACTTACCTTAAAAAAAAATGCCATTTTTGAACTCAAGTCCTGCAAGATTTACATAATCGTGATGTGTAAGACAGAAATCTGAAATTTGACCTTTTCGTTCTAAAAGACCGATACTGGGATTTTAGTGGGGATTTTGCATCTTGTGTTTGTTTTGTTTGCATTGTTTTGGGGATTTTTTTAGCCTAGTCTGCTTATGGGATATGCTAGCTCCTACTTTAGAGAACTTTGTTTGGACTTCACTAGATGATATCGAATTAATGTTTTGGAAGAATAAGATGCATGTACTCATTTTTAGCTTTTTGGAAAAATGCGATTTGAGGAAGGATGAAATTGAATGAGGTTCACCAACCTGTATGACGATCAGTTACAGCACAGGGAACATGAATACAACTGACAGTGACAAATGCATTGCTAAACATAAATGTAAATCTTCTGTAGCAGTGAAATCACAAGAGGCTACTGTGTCATAAAAAGTTACAGTATGGCTTTCAACTGCTTTTCATCTTAAAAAGCAATTGTTTTTCTCATTTTGATGCCTTACCTTGAATTTTCTGAATTGGTTCCTAAAAGCTTTGTTCATCAAATATGATTCAGAAGGCAAGTGGAGGTATTTTCAGATTTTTATCTTGGCTTTTTGCATTTAGAGGCTATTGCTTGCATTTCATTCTCAATTGTGAAACATTCCCAAATTCTGATCTTCTCTCAGTAATGTTTAGTTATGCAAAGTGGCTAAAATACACTAACACATGCTAGTAGTATAACATACCATAGTTAAAAGACTTATGGCAATATTTTTCACAGGCATGAAAGGGCTCCCTATGTCTTGATACTTCTAAATTTTCATTAACGAACTACAAGAGTATTTTTGATTTCTGGACTTTTTTAGAGGTTGTTGGGGAGTGGGGTTGCCAGTGTTATTTAAGACACATGTTTATAAAACGGAGAGTGATCCTAATAGCCTTTCATTAAAGATAGTGGCATTGATTCTTCACTGCTGCCAAAAACCTCTTCACAGTACGTCAGGCAAATGCCCATTGTTTTTTTCTTGACATTATTCTTTGAAGCTCACCATACTTTTTACCTTAGTATCTGGTTTGCATTTGTTGAAATCATTATTTCACATGGTGGCTGGAGCTCTGTACTTAAGCTTGGTCTGGCTGGAGGAGCATCTGCGTGACAGAGAAACACTACTGTATTTGAGACATCAAAAGTGTTCTAAGTATTGAAGAAACAAGAACATCATGTTTATTTGTAGAATGATGGTCTTCAAATTGATGGGTAGAACTATGTCTGCAAGAAAGTGATCCTGTTCATCAGGAGACAGTGTCTTAAATCCAGCTGACAGAGGGCACAAACAAGTTAATGAGTAGTAGTATTTCTGTCTTTTTAAAGTACAACAATGCAGAGCAGTTACGTGAATGATTTCAGTTGTGCCGCAAAGCCTCCATAAAGGTGGAGTAATAGTTAAAATTGTTGATAGTTTTGAAAGAATACAGTGTTATTGCTGAACCCTTTCAGTTCTGTGGTAGTTCACCTCAGAAACAGCTTAAGATTTGCAAGATTTTGCCTCTGTGAAAAGCATAGTCTTCCCAATCCCTCACTGAGTTTTGGGAGCTGAGAACCCACAGGTGTTCTGTCACATATTTTTCCCCACTTTTGGCTCCATTTTCTGTCTCTCTTTTTACTCATGCTATCATTGTGCCTCCAGGCATTGTATCGGCAGTGTATGCACAGTTGTGTATAGGTGGAAGGAGAATAGATTTTACTCTCTTTGTTGAAATAAGCATTTTAAACATTTACAGACTAAGCTGACAAGGCCTGGCAAAAGGGGTAATATTCAGCAAGTACTTCGTATATTGAATTTTGAGTTACAGGATTTTATTGGCAAAATACTAACACATTAAAGGGAATTAATTTTCAGTGTTTGCTGATAAAGCTGCCTGTGGACTGTAGGAGTCAATGTGAGGCTGTGGTTGCTAATCCTTGCCACTTAGCAAAATGCTTGTAGAAGCTGTGTAGAGTTACAGACAGTTGTTTCCCATTTTGTGGCGACAGTCATTTCCGGGTAGTAATTCTCTTCAGATTCCAGCAATAGAATAGATAAACAGATACTGAAGGCTCCAGATTGAGTATAGGCCTTCTTTCCATCTGTCTGAAGCCAGAACCGACTTCAGGAACCAGATGCTGAAGGGAGTTTTCATCTCTATCTCTGTTATTTTTCAGAGTAATTGGGAAAATAAAATAGGTTTGTGCAATTATAATATTAATAGTGCTGCCTGACAGAGAGAGCATTGGCACACAGATCTGTGAAAACATCATCCACTTTTGTAAGTGAACAGACGACAACAAAATAAAGGCCAATTGCTAATCTGAATTCCTGTCAGCCTGTTCTGCATGGCATGGGTCTTCAGCGGCTGAGTCCTACTGAGAATGTTACGTTTTATTGAGATATGGAGAACTTTGCTTATTAGCAGAAAGGAACCCATAAAAATAGCTGCCTCCATAAAATGAGAGGGGTTTGTCATTTGCATCGTACCATCTGTATCCAAGTGCAAACTCAAACTCAGCAAATGTTGTAGTATTATCTGTATTTGAAATCCTCAGGGACCTTTATGAGTTTAATTAAAATTAATTATGTGGATATTTTCACACCATAGAGCATGAGTGTAGTTTTCTTTTCTTAAACTGTCATGAAGTACCTGAAAATCAAAAAAATATTCTCCTATGTAATATATAGAACATAGTGACTGAAAAGTTTTACATTGCTGTGAATAAATAACCTTTATCAGTACTTCAGAAAAAAATACATCTTTCCTTTATTTTTGCCTTGGAGCATCTTTGAACAGTTATATCAAAATGTCATAGTCAATGCATTTTACAGCTATGTTTAATGAAGATTTAATCCAGGGAACAAAATATAGACAAGTAAGGTGTAGGACTGTAAAAGAATATGAGAATTTTAAGGAAACTGTGTGATAGCTGAGGTTTAATATCAGTGTATGGTTGCCTAATTATTATCTTTGCATACTCAAGCTTTTACTTTTAAGGATACTTTCTAGAAGAAGTGGACTGCATGTGCTTTGTGAACGTCCTACAGCACAGCCAATAGTACTTGAGTTTCTCTGGTTAGTTCCAGTCTCAAAACTACTTTCATAATTTTTGTTTGTAGAACAGATTCATTCTGCTTAAGAATTCTGATCATTTTACAGGAACACTACCGACTAAATAAAAATCCAATTTGACTGATGTTAAATATTATTTTCTGTAATATTTGTCTTGAAAATGTGTTTTCCTTTATTATTGCGAAGTTTTTTTTATTTCTCTGAGGTTACATCTGCACATCTCTATGGTCGTGTATGTCCTCACCATCCTTTTTTGTACATGCACATAACCATTATTTGCTTTCTACCTGCTTATACTCAGGTGTGTCTTAAGGAAAAATGTTGATCATTAACAAAACAAAGCTGTGTCACAAAATACTGCATTTTACAGAAAATAATTCAGTGATTTAGATAGACTTTTAATGGCTGTTCTGTGTAATGGTACGTTTTAAAGAGAAATACGATTTTTTAGATTGGTTTTATCTCTTTAACATATTATTATCTGGAAGCAAATCCAGGTAATTCAGTTGTTTGAATCTTTGGATTACTGAAAAATACTACTTTAAGAAATACTCATTTCAATCTTTAATGTGGGAAGACACCAGTGCAAAGTCAGATGTGCTATATACATTAAGATTTAGTCATGGAAATGAAACCACAGAGATCTCTTTGCTCTTATAACCGAGTTTCTAAGCTGTTATGTGGATTGTTGCTCATGTGGCTGACTTAAATGGTCATAGTATAAGTACAAAGTGGTTTAATTTTATGGAGATGAATTCAACTGCAATATGAAATGCATAAATACATAAATTTCACTTGTAGAATGTCTTATCCAGTTGGTAAACATAATAGAACTTTTTTTTTTTTTGTATTAACTACGTACTTTCACATAAGACTTTTTAGTAATTCTGTGTATCTCATATTCCACTGATGGGTATCTGGTATAAACCTGCACGATCAGTATCTTATTATTTAATATATGTGCAGCTAGTATTACGAACTGTGTAATTTTCATACTCACTTGAAATAAGCAGCAAAACACATGACTCCAGTATGTGATAATCAAATTATATATTTGGGTTACTTCAAGTCAGAATTTATCATTTGTTTTATTATATGCCATTTATTCCAAATATAATTTGCCAAAATGAGAGGTAGTGTGGCTAGGAGTTTTGCTCTTCAAATTGACCTTTATCTCTGTAAATTTTGTTTCTCTAATTGTTTGTACACACACACACATAGAAAAATATATATGTATGTAATAAGTATATATTTATATATAGGAATATAAATATATATATATGCACACACACTTACGGAATTAAAAGCAGATACATAAAGTATGGAAAAAAATTAAAGAAAAAAATATTGTTTATCTCTGAGCAATGTCTTTCCCAGAGAAAACAGCTCATTTGGGAGGTCCTCAGCTGACAACTTTGAAACCAAGATGTGGGTTGCAGCATGGCTGTGTTGTTAAGTCAGAGCTCTGTCAATGGAAATACAGAGAATTCTGCTTGAGGGTCATCATCATTTTGTTTGCCCCATCTCTTTATCAAGGGTAGTTTGTGGCAACGGAGTGGAATGCATATCTGTGCTTTGACCACTCAAATTCTGAGCCTGGATGACAGGTTTCAGTGGTCAGTGAAAACAGGTTTGTACTCTGAGACTATGCAGTGGTCCATCTCTTCTGCCTTATGGACAGCTAACAGCAGCAGGATAGCAGGGAAGAGAGCTGAAATGCCTTAAAACACCAAAAAAAAAAGACTCTTAGTGAAAGCTTGTCAGGACATTTAAAATAAAAGATGAACTGTGGGTAGAGACAATTTTTTATTCTTTCATCAGTATATCACTCTCAAACGTCACTTTTTTTTTTTTACTAGTTAGATTTTTTTATACTGCTGAAATTCAATCTGTATGATTACTGAAGGAAAAGACTGTATAGGCAGTTTTACACTGTAGTTTTTCAGACCTCTAAATATTTTGGAATGGTGTTTAATAAACAAATCAGAATGTTTTCAAACAGGTAATCCATTGGAAAAAAAACCAAACCACAAAGCAAGACGGCATATTTATTGTCTGATATTTGACAGGGGTAGTGGCTTCCATTTGTTGTCATGGCCCTATTGTGTTATATGTGCAGTGCTATAGAACGGGTAGAAAACCTACTCTTCTGCTTTAATTATTTTAAAAAAAGAAAAAAGGAACTAAAGTTGATAGTGTTGATACCATTCTTCTATTTAGTCTGAGACATATTAATAAAGTTATAACTCGTAGTTTTTACAGGTACTGATGTAGATACTTGGACTGAAGGAACTGAATTAATCCAAGAATCCTTGCCATGTATTTTATAGGAAATGATACAATCTATTGGACAGACATGGGTTTCAACAAAATTAGCAGATCTAAACGAGACCAAACATGGAAAGAAGACATTGTTACAAATGGTTTGGGAAGAGTTGAAGGCATTGCAGTGGACTGGATAGCAGGTAGGTCTTAACCTGCTTCAGTAATTGTCATGGTTTTTGACAGTGTGCTCTTGCGTCTTCAGCTCAAGACAAAATAACTTGGTTTGCTTTCAGCTCTGATTTCTAATATTCCAAACATCTAGACGTTTTTCTCTGATGATACTACCACTGTTTTTTTCAGTTTTACTACAGACAGAAAAATTATTTAAATATCTTGGACACTATTTCTTAGATGGACGGTCTCAATGATGACAACCACAAATACGAGTTTATACTTTAAAACAGAAGGACAATAACATAAAACATAGGACTATAAATTACAAGTATAAGATACATATAAGTTAAAAGACAGCAGTTAGTTTCTGGTCCTAACTTACGTACTTAGGATTTAAATGCTTTTCACATAGTCTTTTCATTTTCCAGTAACTTCAAGATATTTTTTCCTAGGTAACATATATTGGACGGATCATGGCTTCAACTTAATTGAAGTTGCCAGGCTCAACGGCTCATTCCGATATGTAATTATATCCCAGGGTTTGGACCAGCCAAGATCTATTGCAGTACACCCAGAAAAAGGGTAACATGACCATGGCTACTTGCATTTCTTTTAAAGTTTGCGTGCTAGCAGTGAAGCTCCTAGATAAGTAAACCGCAGCCTTCATTCTAATAGATAAGCATTTAATAAATCTCAGAAGGATAGTATTGAAAACTATTGTACTGTAACTCGGCACAGGTGGAAGGAAGTGTTATTCTTGCCATACGCTGAGTTTTTTCATTGGTGTCTGTATACGTGACATACTGTACTTGCTTTGCAAAACAGTTTTCATTTTCTATGACAGTCATTTCAACTGAAGTTTAGACATTTCTTGGAAGCATGCTTAAATCTGTTCTTAAGTTTCCAGCAAATCCAAGGAAGTCACATTAGCTAATGAAGGCCTTGATGTCATAATGAAATCATAGAACAGTGTCATCGTTGATAGCTATACATTCTAATATCATGTAACATCCCACTACAACAACCAAGGAGATTGCTCAGGGTAGCTGAAAGTAATGTGATATGAAGCGTGTGGGTAAGAGAGTAAGGGTTGTCAAAAGTTACATCTGTATTCATCCAACTGTTTGTTGAGAGCAGGGACAACACTGCAGCATTACAGAAACAGAGAACTTTCTGTCCCCTTCCAGCTCCAAAACTATTGTTAGCAGAGCTACAAGTAAAGAAGAAGCAGTAAATTCTGCAAAGAATTCTCATCTCTTTTTTATGGGAATGTGAAATGTACTTTCTGAGGAACAGGCATATAAGCAAGACTCAGTGGATTGAACTGGTACACTTACTCTGCTAAAACGGAAGCTCTAAATGGTGTGTATCCAAAACTTAAAGAAGTATTTGAGCAACCTCCTACCTCCAAAACCAGAGATGATGCCGTGTAGCTCATTTTCCCCAGATTCAATCAAATCAGTATCTTGCTATTTTCAGGAAAGCAGCCTCTGTACTCAGAGGAATTTGCAGCAAACTATGGCTGAAGGAAGAATCCTGATTTCTCAGTGAGGCCAGATTGATACCAATGATGCACAACGGCATTTGGATCTTTGCCATGATTTCCTTTTGAGAATTTAGACATAGTGATCTGTGTATTTTGCAGACTAGAGCGTTGCAGCTCAACGTAGTTAAGAATGAAGATGAAAGCAGTAACAGCTTTTATTTTCTGCATAATATAACAGCTTTTGCCACAAATCATAGAATTGTTCAGGTTGGAAAAGACTTTGAGATCATCAAGTCCAACCGTTAAATCATTACAGCTCTATTCATATAGCACCACTGGTTGCTTGGCAGTATCTGCTAACAGTTTAGGATTAATGCTGCTCTTCAGAGTAGGATCTTCTCCAGATCCTGCTCAGTATCTGGCTGAATTAATTATTGTATTTTTGTCCTTAATGTACCAGAACAGCTCTGCGCTTCTGATAGAAAAAACAAAACCAAAAAAAACCAAAACAGACAAAAACAAAAAAAACCCCAAATGCCAAAAAAAAGAAACCAAAAAACCCCAAACAACAAAACTTTTGAAGGTAAGCACACAGAAGCCCGAAAAAATTCTTCTGGCCAGAAGGGTAGACCAAACTTCTTCAAAACGAAGTTGATTTACAGTGTAATTTTCCTCAACATGTATGTCATGTATTTGCTGTACACATGTACAGATAGGTTTCCACCCCTTTCTTACATCAAAGGAAAGGAAAAGCCCCCATGAAGTCTGTGAGGACTAAGTGCAGCAGATGCAGTTTCTCTGGAGTATACTTAGATATTAAAATAATATGAAATATATAAATAAAATCCATTATTTTCGACTAGAAATGGTAAAAAGTGTAATCAACTCCTCTGCAGTATTTGGAGAAGGAAGATGGGTTGTAGCCGAGATCCAGCATTTAACAGTTGTTATAGGGAAGAGTAAATGCAGAACCCTTGACAGAATAATATTTAATACTGCTATTGATAGAAAAGTTGCTTTTTTACTAAAGTGTGGATTATTTTTTTTTTTTAATTTTAGTGACAATATTTTTATATGATGCTTTCAGCCTCAGCAGTTCATGGTTTTATTTTACCAAAATGATAAGTGTGCACATAAGCAGATGAAATAATAGCCATCAATATTAAAAAGATCCTTTGGAAATGAACAGTTTCTGCTTTTTAAGTTAATGGATATTTAGAGATCATAGAATCATAGAATCATTAAGGTTGGAAAAGACCTCCAAGATCATCAAGTCCAACCATCAACCCAACAGCACCATTCAAGGGGCCTCGAATGCTGTGTTCAGTTTTGGGCCCCTCACTCCAAGAAGGACATTGAGGGGCTGGAGCGTGTCCAGAGAAGGGCAATGGAGATGGTGAAGGATTGGAGGAGTTTGAATTATTGCACTTGAAACAAAAAAAAAAGTAAAGAAGAGAAATGCTAAATGTAGAAATTAATTCAGTTGTGCAACATTCCTTAGACATTTTGATCTTGATGAGTTTTATAGTTTGTTTATGGATGTGTTTAGCGTGCTTAATAAAACACAGGCGGTTGAGAGGACCACAGAGTAGTAATTGTTTTACGTGTCTAGTAGAACAGTGTATCTTCTGTGAAAGTAGGTAAGCTTCATCTCTCTTTATTTAATATCGTGCCACAAAATGATATCTTGAGATGTCTCCAATCAAAGTCTCTTCATGAGAAGGATAGCAATGTTTTGCTAGTGAAGTACAGGTTTACCTTTCTGTGGGAAGATTAAGGCCTTTTTACCCTCTGCATTATTGTCATATCTCTTTGCCTTCATGAGGCAAAACTTTCAAAGGTATTCTTCCCTCCCCTTGCCCTGACTTCGCATTGTTCAGTTCTCTTGAAGCTTGAGTTGACAGCTATAAGAATGGAGAGGAAAATAGCAGCTATTAGGTCTCATTGAATCTGCCAGTTATAGCAAGATATGAAGCAGCCAGAATTCAGCTGGTTGGTAACATTATTTATTGTTGCTAAGGAAAAAGTTAAGAATGTGTAGTCCTACAAAGGAATGTCTTTGCCCCTCATCAGGTATGCTTATTCATATAACATACACCTGGCTACTTTTTCTTTTTCTCAGTTAAATAATACTTTTCTAATCAAGCTCAGAATTGTGATTGAAATGTGGAGTTAAGCGAATACTGAAATAACCCTTAGACTTTGAAAATACTCCTTCAAAAACATTTTGGGAATTTCATTTGTGTTTAGGGTTTGGGGCAAGGCAGGGAGGGGGGAGTTTAAACTCTAACTTAATTTTTACCAGTGAAGGTTTTTTGAAAGTTGATTGTAGGCCAGCATCAAATTTCCACTGCTTGCATCTCCATGTTAGCTGTATAAATTATATATGGGATAGTTCTGAAATAAGTTGAGTCATAGTTATTCTAGCATTGCACTATATACACCAAATGTGTCAGTATTATAGTGCTACCTACAAAGATATTTTAGACGGTACTTCCCCAGAACTTTTGGGAACATATGGGAAGATCAAGTTTTTCTGTGTTAGTTGTTTATGTAAGTTGATATATAAATATATTTATAATCGTTAATGGTCTAAGAGTATTAAGTAACTTGCCTTATGTTTTTGGCAGCTATGCAGGATTTTCCTTGGAGGATTCTAGATTCATTTAACCTGCTAATTATGGCTTTGTTTTGTTTCATTTTCCTCTCCTCAGAGTAACTAGTCTAAGGGAAGAACATGGAATGTTTAATTCAAGTACATTGAATGCCTGCTTTTCTGTAGTCAACATTTAGTTATCTTGTGTTAAGAAAGTACCTCTGACTAGGTGCCTGAAAGCAAACTTAAGCAGTGATTGCTGATACCCAGCTGGTTAATAGTGTCTATTTTAACATTTCTAAAACATATTTTTAATTTATCTAATACAGCAGTTCAATTTCCTAATGTAGTATAAGTTTTATAGTTAGTATTCGTATTACTGTTTGTTATGCCAAGAAGTAGGAGAAAAATTCATTTTTATTATAGCCAGAAAGCCCTACAATTGGAGCCAAAGTAAGGTGGGCATTGTTTCAGCAGCTAAATTTGATGAGCTAATTATAGGATCCATATATGTTCTCCCCTGTCCCATTTTTATCCCTCTTTAGTTCATGTGTCTGCAATCATCCAGTCAAATATAGCTATTTAACAACAGATTGGTACAACGATATCAGCAGACTCAGGGGTAGAACTGGTTGGTAATGCACAGAAGACTTTTGTTATCTTTAAAAACAGACTAATACATACATACCTACATTCCACAAAGAGAAAAACAACGGAGAATGGTTCTGTGTGTTCATTCACTTTGTGAGCATAAAACTAAACAATGTTTTTGTGTTATGAATATTTGCTGTGAGAATGCTTCTCTTCAGGCAATTAGCAATATGCTAGACCTCAGTTATGTTATCTCAGAAAGAGCTTTCTTGCTCACAGTGTATATATTTTGTGTGTGTGTTTATAGTACATTTTGATATACATACATGTATATATTTGTAGACACATAGACGTTTACTTAAAGGTATTCCATAGGTAGCCTTGTGGCCTTCCAGTACCTAAAGGGGGCCTATAGGAAAGATGGGGAACGTCTTTTTAGTAGGGCCAGCTGTGTTAGGACAAGGGGAAATGGTTTTAAACTAGAACAGGGTAGGTTCAGGCTAGAGGTAAGGAAGAAATTTTTTACACTGAGGGTGGTAAAACACTGGAACAGGTTGCCCAGAGAGGTAGTGGAGGCCCCATCCCTGGGAACATTCAAGGCCAGGTTGGATGGGGCTCTGAGCAACCTGATCTAGTTAGCAGTGTCCCTGCTCACTGCAGGGGGGTTGGACTAGATGACCACTAGTGGTCCCTTCCAACCCTAAACATTCTATGATTCTATGATTCTATAACTGTTCAGCAAAGGAAGTGCTCTGTGTAGATTAACTGGCCTCGTTTTGCTGTACCTAAAGCAACAGATTGAGAAGTAGGATGTTAAGGCAGAAGTTTGACCTAGCACCTTATCCCAAAATAGTGGTATTACTGTATCAGTAAGTACACAGCAATATAAAATTAGATAAGTAAGATGTAGATTCTTCCTATGAGCATTAGGGAGAACAGGAAAAACATTTTCTTCCCAAATAAAATCCCTTTGCCCTACCACTTTCCAGAGTGCTCCTCACTACTTCATATTTGAAACATTTTTAAGTTAAGACATACAACTCTTGTATTATCACAACATTTGTTAGTAATTAGATGCAAGAGCTTCTCTTCCAGTATTTTTTTTTAATTTGCTTTTATTTTTTCCAAACACAAAACTGACTTCTTTAAGAAAAAGAATTGCATATTGACTGATTGAATGAGGTTTTAAGAATTACTTCATACCTATCATTTGCAAAAAATCTCTCAACAAAGTATTCTGAGACAAGTTATATGATACATTTAAGCTCTTAAGATTATTTAGAGACATGAGCCTTATCATGTTTTTTTTAATACCTATTTAATGGTAGTGGTGCATTTTATTGGCAATTGAAGTACAGTATCGCATATTTTCCACTCTTATTTTGATGCGAAATTTTAATTGGTAATTTCTACAACATTTTAGGTATTTATTTTGGACAGAGTGGGGACAGACTCCTTGCATAGGCAAGGCACACTTAGATGGGTCTGAGAAGGTTGTGCTTGTGAGCCTGGGGATTGCGTGGCCTAATGGGATTTCAATCGACTATGAGGTTAGTTCCTCTGTCTTCCAGTATATGTTAAAACGTACAGTATTTGTTATGTTTCATGAAAGCCTGCTGGTCTTCTACTTTGATGTAATCTTAATAACTCTTAATTAAATACTTGGACAAGACTGTTGATGTTTCCTTTAAAATTAATCTTTAGGAAAATAAATTATATTGGTGTGATGCTCGTACCGACAAGATAGAAAGAATTGACCTTGAGAGTGGAGGGAATCGGGAGATTGTGCTGTCAGGGAGCAATGTGGATATGTTTTCAGTCGCGGTGTTTGGAGCTTACATCTACTGGTCTGACAGGTAATTTATTTTTCATAAGTATTTGAGTCTCAAAATGTTATTTCAGTGCCAGGTGCTTCACTTTTGTAGGATTAGCCATTCCTTAGCAAGGTCACAGAACAGATCACAGAAAGCTATGCAATTTCCAAAGAAAGGGCATTTCTGAAGCTGAAAGCTAAAGCATATCAGTGTCATAGATGAGAACAGGTTTCTTCACCTTGTCTTAGGTGAAGTCTCCACTGCCCTTCAGTCATTTGTTTGGTGTGAATTAGTTGAGGATTGTTGATGAGACATCTTCAACTTTTTTGGCAGAGCACATGCAAATGGCTCTATTAGAAGAGGCCACAAGAATGAGGCCACGGATGCTGTGAACATGAGGACTGGCCTTGGAATAAACCTGAAGGAAGTGAAAGTCTTTAATAGAGCACGAGAGAAAGGTTGGCTGTTCTTAAGGATGCTATTAATTGTTTTAATATCACCTGCTACTTTTTATGTATATTAAAGCATACCAAAAGTTAAGTAATCACTGATTTTATCTCTATTTTTTACTCTTGAAGTATTTTTTTCAAGCTAAAACTAATGTACTAAAGAAAACATATAGTACAAATTCAACTAAAATTCTGAGTGTTTTAAGGAGAAAATCTAAAACAATACACTTCCTATCATTCCAGGTTTGGTGGTTTTTTGTTGATTTTTTGTTTTTTTGTTTTTTTTTTTTTTTAAAAAGCAAGAAAACACTATTAGGAATGAGGGACCTTGAACTGTGCTTTAACGAGCAGTAATCTCAGGCAGTCTCAGATTTCTATTGGAAAGCAAACCAGACTTTTTTTTTCACAGCTAAAAATTCCCAGCCTCTGTGTTTTAAATATTTATTTCCTGAAATTACTTGGGTTTGAGTCCTAGATTTGTTGTGTGGGAAGAGACTTTGAAATAATTGGTTTTACTTTATATTCAATTTGTTTGGTGAATTCAAGAGACAAAAATTATCATATATTCTTGGTGATCTATGGTATCAATGGATAGATTTTTACTTTCTAGTACCTGATGAAGAACAACCTTGCTTTTAGTTACCTTTTTCCTCCTAAAATTTTAGTTTTGAAGAGATCTTGAAAAACTTATTTCAGTGAGCAAAGGTGATTACTAGTCTACAAAAAATGATGATGATTTCCTCAGAACAAATTGCTACCAGACAGTCCAGACAAAAATTTCTACAAATGTATTCAAAAAGAGAGGAAAAAAAAATGTTACTATAATACAAGATAAACTTTTTAATACAAATATATCTCTGGTGTTGGTAGCTCTCACAAGTTGCTTTAATCAAAGTGTTACATACCCAAAGAAGCTGTTTCTTTTACATGCATCTTTCCTAAATAACTGCATTAAATATGACATGTAAAATAAAGCTGCATTTTGAAAGAAAACATATTTAACAACTAGTAAGAAAAAACTGTCTTTTCTTTTTTTTTTTTTTCCCCAAGGGAGTTTTAAATAGTTTTGAAAAAAAATTACTTTGCAAACATATGCATATTAATTTTACTAAGAATTTCTGCATGTAATTTCAGAGTACTGTGGGCATCGTATTTTGTGGATAAAAATAAACTCCACACAAAATTTTATTGTTTCTTTTAACTAGGCTAGAAATAGTTAATGTCTGCTTGCTTGGAAGGGCTGCTTTATATTATAGTCTTAGGAAAATAGAACAATTGGATTAAAAAAATGCTTCTGTACATGTAATGATTTTTATTGATAACTTTAAAGACTTGAATGCATTAGGAATAAGAGAAACGGTTACTGAGGCTAAAACTCTCTTGATGTTAGTTTGAAAAACATAACTGAATGATTTTTTAATACGTTTTTCAAATTTTACTAGGGTACAAATGATTAATGTCTTTGGGAGGGGCTGTCAGTGAGCCAGGAGGACAAAAGGGAAAAAACAGGTGAAAAATGTTTTTGGAATGTTTTTCTATATCACACTATTATATATATATTTTTAAGTTCATTGAGCTAGAAGTACTTAATGCTATTTAAAAAACCAAAAAATGTAATTAGCTAGCTTCCTAACCTTCTATTATTAAAACAAGCAAACAAACAAACAACAAAAAAAAATCCAAACAAAACAGAGAACCACAAACAAAAAAAACCAAGAACCTGTGCTGATTATGATTAATGCTTTTTTTTCAAACACCTGTTTTACCCTTTCTGATGAGCCAGTCCTGCAGTCCTATTTGCAAGTGGATTCCTATCCTTTAGTGCTATTTTACACGTGTGCAAGGACATGCCCTAACTACACTGATTTCAGAATTGGCCATTTTAAAAGATATTTACAGCTGGTGAGTTGTGGAAGCATTGAAGTTTTCAAAGAGAGATTTTAGAAGTTTGAGAATCTTTTTCATATATTTTCCTTTCTCTTCTCAACCTCTCATCCTTCCAAACAGATATTAACTTTTCTAGCCTAATATAACTTTAAAATGATCTTTAAAACAAACCAAATGTAAAAATGTATACAGCTAAGTCTCCACATGTTTTTACAGACCTATAGAGGAATGTCTTATGTAACCTTGCCTATGAACACAAAATTCAACATTTCTAATTTGAAGAGCAAGTTAACTCTCATCCCCCATTATTTTTTCTTAAAAGTATCTTCAGCTTGAAATGTAGCCATTAGACAATACAATCAACAGTACTTTCAGACATTACATATTTCCCAACAATTATTATGGCTTTCTACCTGAAAACAGTCTATTTAAAATGTTTTCTTCTCCTTCACTATGTGGAAAACTTTCAGAAATGAGAAAATGACTATATTGAAAGAGCTGAGTTGTTACATGGAAAGTGCTGTCAGAAACAGAAACTAAATTATCTAAACTGTAATAGTAATTCATACATAGTCCAAAAAAGACAAAGGAAAATAGCTCCTAATTATTGACAATTACTGTAATTTTAAATATTGCTTGCAACTAGTGTAGTTTAAGTCATTGAAGTTACTAATTTGACAATGATTTCTTAATGGTATGCATTTGTCAGGGAGTAAGTTTTTTCAAGTCAGGTTTTAAAGGAAATTAGAACAAAATGTTAGGAAATGTCTTTATTAAAAACAGAGAACTGGATTGACACAGTTTTGTACCTGTCAATATATATGTTTTCATTTTGATAGAAATTGTCTAAAAACAGTACTGTATTCTGGTGGTATCTAAATTTGACTTTTTGCCAGTAACAGGTGTTTTAAAAAAAAAAAAATCATTCAAAGCACTTGAAGTCTCTATGTCTTCATCTGATTATGGAGGAATAACCCATTTTATAATTTTCTGTTAATAAAATGTATAATCTTGTGAATTGGAAAAGACATTAATTATATTTGCTCATTAATTGTATTCTTTAAAATTGTCTTTAGGTGTTAGCTAAAGTTACATTCTTTACTATTTTGGCCTTTGTTTTACTTGTGAATATTGTAGAAACAGTTTTTAGAGAAGAATTCTTAGAATACATAAAATTATGTTTTGATTTAAGTTAGCTAAGTGTAATATTATAAAAGAGAGATTTTTTTTTTTTTTTTTGCAGGTACTAATATTTGTGCCAAGAATAATGGTGGATGTCATCAACTTTGCCTTTATCGAGGAAATGCACGGAGAACGTGTGCTTGTGCACATGGCTATCTTGCAGAAGATGGAATTACTTGCCTGAGACATGAAGGTTACCTATTGTACTCAGGAAGGACAATATTAAAAAGTATACATCTTTCAGATGAAACCAACTTAAATTCACCAGTAAGGCCATATGAAAATCCAGAGTACTTCAAAAATGTGATAGCTCTTGCTTTTGACTACGGTCTGAAAGGAAGAGGTACGAATCGCATTTTCTTCAGTGATGCACACTTTGGAAACATACAAGTTATTAAAGACAACTGGGCTGGCAGAAAAGTACTAATTGAAAGTAAGTAAGAAATTATTTCCCCAAAATACATAGTTTAATAAACTTTCAATTATTGTAGTTTATCCCTATAAGATACATTTAAACATGTTTTGAATTATAACTTAAAAATAATTTCTTCTATAACAATCTCACGATGCATGAAGCATATTACTAGAAAACAGAAGTGAAAATGATGGTGTTTAAATTTGTATTACTGAGTTTTTAAGGAGTTTTACTGTTGAAAAAAAAACCTCATTGTGCAATGCCTGGAAATGAAAGAAGTCCCCTTATCCCAAGAACCTATTGGTTGTTTATTTTTCTAGTTAGTGGGGGTGGAGTACTATAAATTATCTCTGCTGACAGCCATTCCTCAGTATAACATAATGGGACCTGGGTCAGTCTGTCCAATCGACTCACCCTTCTTGTAGTGAGCCCAAGAAAAGCGACTTGTGCTTTGTGATAATTGGAGGTAAATTCCAACCTACAGAATTGTCTGGTTTTCGTAGAGGCTTACTCAGTGCCTTTGCATGTTTACTATGCCTTCATTCACCACACTACCAGAGGAGTTGTATGAAACTTCACATTTTTTTAGCCTCTGAATACTTGAAGCCTGACACTGCTGTCAAGGAATTGACGCCAACAGCATCACCAAAGTCTTCGGACAAGACACAAAACATATTTTGTAGCTGAGGCCTCAGTAAAATGTTCTGAGGACCTGGCACCGAAATCTTTATCAACAAAGTCTAACATAACTTTGATACAAGGTATACATAAAAAGTTATCGTGGTTTGCCATGATAAAATTAGAATTCAAGGAAAATCTGAGTGTGGATGCATAATATATCCTTAATGCTAAACATCCAAAAATCTGTGCTACAAAAATCCAAATTCTGAGAAGTCTGCTGTCTTCCATTTCTGTTCTAATTTAATTGTTCTAAAATACACAGTAAACCTCATTCATCTGCAGTCAGTTATCAGATGCATATATTTACTCTGTTTCTTCTCTTCCTTGCCATTTTTGAGTGCTGTCTGGCTTTTTTGGAAGCTGAAGTTCATTTCAGTATAGGTTTTCAAAAATGTCTGAAATGTTGTATAGTTTTTGAACTTTAAGTTGCAGATAATTCTCATCTGAATGTTGCAAATTATGTTTCCTATGGCATTGGTACATTTAGCTATTTGTTTAGGTCAAACAGTTTAATAACAAGACCAAAGAAAGTGATTAGGAAAAATGGAAGTACATCTGATGTGGAATGGTCGCCCTTTGCTGTTGGATATTAATGAAATATTTTTAGAAAAGAAGGAAATTAAACAGCTGCAAACCGATAAATATTATTCTAGAAATGACATTGGATAATTTTATCATGTCCCTCTGCACTCTGGTTCTGGGAAGGTATTTGTGGTCATAAAAACTGTTGACACTAATGAATGGAAAAGCATTTGTCAGATATAATATGAGGCATTTTTTTGCTTTGAGTTTTTATGTGTGCATATTTTAGAGGAATTAATGATATCAGTATTAAGATATGGTAAAGAGAAAGTAAGCAATGTTGTCAGGATGTTATCATTACTCCCAGGAAAGCATTAAAACCTAGGGATTCAGAGTTGATGTTAGCCGTACAAGAGACACAAACAGCTCAGAGAAATGTGCAGTGGTGCCGTATAAGCACTATTTTACACTGGTGTTATAGGAAGAGTTTAGAAGTATTACATGAAAAGCCACTGGAAATTTTTACATTTGAAACAGACAAAGAGGAGAAAGAAATACTGGTGAAGCACCAATGCAGATACAAATTGGTTTTTTTAAAGAACAATAAAGTACTCCTCATTACTTTGTAATAGGTTGTACAAGAGCTAAAGATATTCCAGAAAGCGTAGTTGAGAATTATACTTTTAAGAAATTGTTAGGAAGTGTTTCTACTTGTAATCTTAATATGCCCGATTTCATTTTTCATTAGCAGAGTCAGCACTCTGAATAATTGAATGTCAGATGGAATCTTCTATCCTTGCAAAAAATTTATGTATATGCTTGGTATGTGTTTGTGAACAATAGCGTTTGTTTTCTAGAAATGCTTCAGTTGGTTTTTTCATTGTGAATGAGAAGGGATGTCACATCCCGGTCTATGGTAGTTTATGGTTCTCCTTCACGTGTTTTAACCTCCTTTTCTTTATGTCAAGTCATTAATTTTAAACTGGTATTTTTGTACTATATATCCTTCCTTTCCACTGTCTGCACATGATTTTCTCTTACTGTAAACAGGAAACAGTTCATGAGGTTGCTTGAGAATAGTGGAGGTATTTGACCAACAGTAATGCCTATAAAGGAAAAAGCAGTGCTAAAACTGGTTGACACCAGTGATTCCATTCTCTGGAAGACGTAAAATTCTAAAATTTTCTGATTTCCATGTTAACTAATTACTATTAAATAGAAATTACTAAATGGAATCCAGCTAAGATATTTTAGTAATACTTAATTTCAGGATTAAAAAATAACATCTTTGACATTCATTTTGCTATCTTTTTCCTCCAAAATTATTACTACACACCTGTAGCAAGTTTAGGAGGAGATTCAAATCACACTGGAAATACCTAGTCTGTTTCTAACAATTTGACAACCCCGTTCTACCTCATTAAGTTAAAGTCTACAAATCATGCAAACCTTTTCTCAGTATTTGACTCAAATAATGAAAATAGAGTATATTGTATACATGATACTGTTGTTCCAGATTTTTAATTCACTGAATGTAGCTCTGCTCATAAAGAATCCATTAGCTGAAGGATTTCTACCTCACTGAAATCAGATATGCCACTCAAATCTAACACATTTTTGAACTTTTCTGCGCACTAAAAACAGAGTTAAGATATATAAAGAGCCCTTTATTAAACAGGTTTCCAGTTCACTAAAAACAGATTTACAACTCTGGAGTAACCCATTATCTAATATGTTTTTAGCTCACTGAGAACAGATTTACTACCCAGAAACAACCCATTATCTAACATGTTTCCAGTTCTCTGAAAACAGATTTACAACCCATACGCAAGCTATTATCTAACATAGTTCCGACTCACTGAATATTGATTTAGAATTCATAAACAACCCATTATCTGACAAATTTTCACCTCACTGAACAGATTTGCAACTCATAAACAACCCATTAGCTAACACATTTTCGGCTCAGGGAAAGTAGATTTACAGCGTATAAACAACTTTATCTAACTTGTTCCAGTTCACTAAAACCAGATTCAAAACTCACCAAGAACCCAGTACCTGATAGGGTCGTGTCTTCACCAGGAGAAACAATAACAATAACAAAAAAAGTGTAGCATGTGCATAGTATTCCATACCCTAACACCTTTACTTTCTGTGCAGCATAGCTTTTTGGAGTGGATTCTTTCTTATCTCTGAACTCTACTGATGAAATGAGCATTATTTCCTTTGGTCAGTCAGTAAGAGCTTTTTCTTTCGTATTTTTATAAGTGGGTTAATCTTTCTTGATTGCCAATTTTTAAAAATTTACCTTGTTTCTGAGTTTAATCCAGTCTGCAGACAATTTTAAAATTAATTTATTGATGCAGCAATACCTATTTTAAGTATGTCGTGACATGACCACCATCTATATCATGTGGTTTGATGTCAGTCTTTCTTTCCAAAAAGAGTCTTAAGAGGTTATATTTTATTGTCTTGCTTGCTTTAAGTACACACTTTGAGAAGTACTAGACTGTGAAGGAATGAGTAGGTGTTGTGGTTTAACCCGTCGGGCAGCTGAACACCACCCAGCTGCTTGCTCACTTCCCCACTCCCTGGGATGGGGGAGAGAATTGGGGGGGAAAAAAAGGTAAAACCCATGGGCTGAGATAAAGACAGTTTAATAAAAGAGTAGAGGAAAAAAAAGTAATAATACTAATAGAATATAGAATATACATAATATACAAAAAAAGTGATACTCAATTCAATTGCTCACCAGTAGCTGACCAATGTCCAGCCCATCCCAAGCAGTGATCGCTGCCCCCCAGCCAATTCCCCCCAGTTTCTATGCTGAGCATGACATCGTATGGCGTGGAATAGCCCTTGGGCCAGTTGGGGTCAGCTGTCCTGGCTGTGCCCCCTCCCAGCATCTTGTGCCCCTGGCAGAGCAGGGGAAGCTGAAAAGTCCTTGACTGGTGAAGCCCTGCTCAGCACCAACTAGACCATCAGGGTGTTACCAACATTCTTCTCATCCTAAATCCAAACACAGCACTATACCAGCCACTAGGAAGAAAATTAACTCTGTCCCAGCCAAACCCAAGACAGTAGGTACTTACTGTGTGGTCCCACCCACTCACTAATTTATTTTTAACTTTCAACGTCTTAGTTGTAAAAGTCAGCCTTGCAGTTCACTTTACACAGGTTAGACTGCTTCTGCTTCTAACCTGTAACCTAAGCGAGCTATAAATATGTGTGCTTTTGTATCCTGTTGTATTGTAAAAGCTTCGTGAACCTGTTAAGGCAAAATGTTTGAGAACCTTGATGACTTTCCTATTTTTCATTGTCAATGGAAGTCCTTTGTAAAACAAAACACAGTCACGGGGACTATATTTGGAAAATTCATGCTCCCTCTATATACTTTCTCTGTTCTTCCTGTTTGAGGAATTGTGCAGGACTCACTCTGAAAAAAGGAGAACTTTTTTTCATTTTACATAAGCTTTCTGGAGCTTTAGATTGGTAGAACCAGTGCCTTGATAAATCAAACCCTAACTTGATATTCTAGACAAGATCCAGAGAGATCACGTACACTGTGGAACTTGCTTTTCATTTAATTTTAGCCCCCAATGGACTGTAGGCTTTGTAGAAAATTGAAAGAAGGCGTAAATACAAAAGGAGGTAGAAAAGGTAACAAATTTACATGGAAGTGACACTGAGTTTAAATCAATATGTTGGGGTGGCCATCTCTGAATAATCTTTACAATTTCTCTTCAGCCCTACCAGAAGTAGACCTTCTAGCTGTTGCCAATCTCTCTGGGAGAGTTTGTTACTGAAAACCGAGG